CCGGATTTTCATGATGGTAAAAATAAGAAAATGCAGTACTAAAAAGTTGATAAAAAATTCTGAAAAAATTCTTAGAGTTCTATGAGAAGAAACTAAACAATTACGCATTTGAGGCTTCCACAGTTATCTTCTTCGATGATATTAGAGAGTTTGCGGGTTATCACCGTGTCTTCTTTTATGGTCGATGCCAACGTTTCGTGAACCATGCTGTTCACTTCATCAGGGCGAGGGGTGCACTGATACTGAGCTGCTTCCCCGGGGGACTCCCTTTTTATAGGTAAAACGCTGTCGGGAGGGGGGGATTTTGGGAAGTGGGGGGGATACTCCGTTGGTCTGTCATGAGAGCAGTTTTCCATATCTTGCTCACAGTATACGGTCAACACACGAATGAAGGAGCATGAACGGGACGTCAGGCTGAAACACGTCACACAATCAGCTCTGGCAGAACACAATATGGAGACAGGACACCGAATACTATTCGACAAAACGACAACCTTAGCCACGACAACATCGTATTTCCCGAGGAAACATAGAGAGGCCCTGGAAATACAGAAACATCCAACAACTTAAACATCCAACAACTTAAACAGAGACTCAGGTTATACTGTGAGCAAGGTATGGAAAACTGCTCTCATGACAGACCAACGGAGTATCCCCCCCACTTCCCAAAATCCCCCCCTCCCGACAGCGTTTTACCTATAAAAAGGGAGTCCTCCGGGGAAGCAGCTCAGTATCAGTGCATCCCTCGCCCTGATGAAGTGAACAGCATGGTTTACGGAACGTTGGCATCGACCATGAAAGAAGACACGGTGATAACCCGCAAACCTTCTAATATAATTGAAAATAAACAATTTTTGTCTCTTGCAGTTTTTTTGTAAAATTGATAGTATTTGAGAAAAAAATTATTGAAGATCAAAATTTGAAAATTTTTAGTAATTAATATCTTGTTAACTATTGCGAAAATTACAAAATAGTAGAGGACTTTTCGACTCAGTTTAGTCCGCTCTACCTGCCCACGAGCGTTGTCAGGTGAGTTATGGGACACCCTGTATATAAATGAACAAGGTTATTGCATTAAGCTACATGGAAACAATGACATATTTTTCTGAAATATCTAAAAATTTAATTAGATATAGATCTGAAAATAATTTTGTTGGACTATTATAATAATTATGTAGAAATTATGTATTTATATAATAATTATATATTTAGCCAAATTTTTAGATATTTAAATAAAACCATTCTTTCCATATATATGCCTTCAGTAATCATTAGGAGGTCCAATCCGTCATGCTAAGAATTAGAATAAGCAGAGACAAGCTTTCAGATAGTCTCTTCATTATATAGGGAGTCAATTTGAATTTTCTAGTCAGTATTAACAGAGAATGTGTGTGTGATAAGTGATTTCAATTTTAAGTAAATGTGTGTTATTATTTTATATATTATTATATTTCATTTAAACGTTATAAGGAGACGCTCACACACAATTGGACTACTATAATCCGTATCATGTCAAGATTTAATTTAATAATATGCTTCTTATTCTTTTTATCTTTCTTTTTATCTTTTTAAATTAATAATTAGGTTACTTGTGTGTATATAAAGGTCTACATTATACACATTTTGTCATTAAAAATATTAAATGTATGAAAAATTTGTATTACATTAATTACATGTGACCTATTTCCTCGTACATAAAATTTATATATTAATAACAATATATTGTATTACTCGATATCGATAGCGTTCTCTGTATAGAGTTAAACGTGAAACAATAATAACTTAAATTTGATACATCCATACTGGCAGTAATAAAGGAACACATGTATTTATAATGTTGGCTTTTAATTTTCCTTTATTTATATATAGCATCCAAGCTTAAAAATAAATAAACTTCAAAAATTAAAAAAAATGTTTGAACGCAGATATATGTATATATATTATGTATATATCACCGCGCACGTAAGTCTATTACAATGCGCGACAAGTAGTGCTTACACATAAACAAATATAATAATGTTTGGATTAGCAATTTTTCGAAAGTATAATATAAATGCGTAAGTGTCGACGCGGGGTGAATTAAGAAATAACAAATGAGTGGGAGAGATAAGTAAGTGAATGTGTTCTCTCACACTGATAATAAGGAAAGAGGCATATAATCTTAATTGCCACAGCATAATGTCCACTTTTAGTTTCAGTTAATCGCGTCGGTGCTATCATGCTGGCAATAATGACCCACGAACGCTACTGAGGAACGTGCAAAGGCATTTTTTGAATGTAAACTTCTTGCATAAATATATGAAACATAACGAAAAAATGATAAATCAAGCTGTAAGCTACATCCATAACCGATTCTGTCGAGACAAAAATCTTCCTTAATCCAAAATATACGATTTACATGAGAACGAATATAAGAATGTAAAAGGAAATTACACTGTATCCGATCTAGAGACAAGATATGTATATATAATATATATACTTATGTCATAATATTTATATATATTATGTATAAAGAAATATATATGTTGTGTGTGTATATAAATAAGATCTCGCGGGAGTGCGCAAGAGTATGGTTAGAAAATAACGCACTTATATCTATTGCACGAGAAGTTAATCCGTTAAGACAAAACAAATTGACGTAATTACCAGCGAAGATCATCCAATACGATTTCGCTAAGATAGTTTTAGATAATAAAGCAAGTCTTTGACGATTGGATTGAAAGCCAACAATAGTCCTTCGGAAACTTACCGTACACTACAGATATATTAAGGTTTCTTAAAACTATTTATCTTGTCGTCAATCAAAGGATTACACGATCGAAGTGCAGTAATACAAACGAAATGACGCCAGTCTCATATACAATTTTACAAAATTGATACTTCAGATCCGTATGTGATATTAAATACAGTAAAGATAATTTATATAAGATGATAAAATTATTTAATTAAAAAGTTAACATAAACTAATATTATAAAAATAGAGATAATATTGTGGAAAACTAAATGATAAATATTTTCAGCATATAATTTAGTGACTATATAATCTTTATCTAAAGATACATATTTATTTCTTTATTAACAAGCAGATTAAATATATAATATATAAATAACTCTTATCATGAAATTACTGGAATCTTCGTATGAAGACAATCTTTTGGCATTTAAAGTAATTTCAAAATAGGTGTTAATTTTATTTCTTAAATTATTTCTGCGCTATAATTTCAAG